TTGAAGAAATTGACTTGTAGATGTAAAAACACACTTTTTAGAATTTTCTTAATGCATCATATAAAAATACAGAGCGCTCTTCCGCATAAAATGTTTTAGTGCCATGGAATAAAATACCAAATGGGCCCTGCTTAGTTAGAAAGTGTATCCTTGACAAAAAAAATACTGGTCTCCCCCATAATTCATTTGTAATTATTATTATTCATTTGTAAAATGGTTATGTGACTTGCAAATATGAATTCATTTTTAATAATCAATATAGCATGGAAACAACTTTAATACAAATGAAAACTTACATATCCTGACCCAATACTTTCCCTAAGGAATGGATGGTCCGTTATCACGATCGACAGAAGTTCAATATACTGAAGATGACTTGGGTATCTAACAGGAAAATCAGAAGGAGAAAATCATACTGGTGTTAGTAACTATACCAGCCATAGCAACTACACACTGAAAATTATAAGGGTGGCCGCACTGTAGCCATAGTAATTTACCAAGCTGCCTTCACCAGTTCGCCAAGCAATCGCTGTCTTTTTTTTTTAAGGAGGGAGTACTGGAAGCTACATTCACACAAGCATAAATTTGTCTGCAAAATTCAATATGCCTAAATGGAGATATCCATTCATCATTGAGGATTTCTTAAAAATCTTGTCTTGTCTCATTCTCGTGAACTCAATCTTGTGTCTCGTAACGTGAGCTAACTGTCTCACCACACCCCTAACCCTCTTAGATATGTACTTCTAGGAAGAATCATGTATTGGATATATTGTATTGATTGCAGTGCCATGAGCATTAATCAAGCTTGAAAGGTACAAATAGTAGCAACTTACATCGTTTTCTTACTGAGGTGGTCAAAAAGAGTCTGAATCAATAGAGTCCGTAGTTTTGTTTTACATGCACTTTTCAGATCAGAATCTCCTCTGTCTATGGCCATCCTCAGCACTGTTGGAATCACTAAAGAAGTATCTGGACTGGACTGTGCTTGACTGGAGTGATAACTGCTTCTTGGAGGGTGCTCTCTGCAGAGATAAAATAGAAGGAAGAAAAGAGAAACTCAACAGAGACTTGCCCAGTAGAATAAAAATAAAATTAGCAGTTAGCAAAACACTGGTGAACTACAATGTAACAAAGTGGACACAGTGCTGTGTTTTGACGTATGGGATACCGTTCTGATTACCTGCTCATTGTGCTTTTAAGTTTCTCCAACTGGACCAGAAACAGACTCTGCTTGCGAATGACCGGAATGAGCCTCTCAGACATCCTCTCTGATATAATAGCAAGAGTGGCTCCATCTATCTCATGTTCTGGGAATGAGAAAGCAGAAAGGAGTGCAGAAGGTTAAATAAAATCAATAAATAAGTTCAATAAATCATAAATAGCAAGCATTGTTGAATTTACCAATTAGACCTTGCATTGTGATTGGCTGAGCTACATTCCAGGGAGACAAAATCTTGTGATAAATTTGTATTCTGTTGATCCACTGCAGCAATCAAAGCTAAATTAATGATGTTGTAACTTAGCAAATGCATAACCTTGCAACTCTTCAGCAGAGTAGTGGCACTATTTCATGGTATAGATTGAGTGGTACTGGTTAATCACAAAGTAAAGCTTGATTGGCATATTGCATAGATAACACCAATATTCTGATTCAGCTCATCACTGCAATAAAACAAATTATTACATTCAAATAAATTTGAAGTTGCAAATAACTTATATTGTATATCTCACAGGCCGATGAAGCAGTGTGATGTACAGGTTGTCCTCTTGATCGGTGTATGCGTCAAGGGCATGGAAGTCAGTTTCCTCCCCAGGTGTAATGGCCACCCACTGAGTTGTTGCTATAAAGCCCGCCACTAGGGGACATCTCGTTAGACCATCACTATCTGTTGGCTGTCACCACTATCGGCGATTAAAAAAATTAATTAATGAGAGCGTTATAAACTATAACGTTATACTTAGAGATAGTCACGAAACAAACGGCCACCGTTACCTTTACTAACACTTCAGTGTTTCTTAAACAACAAATATCACTAACCGTATCTCCTTAACGTTAACTTAACCCCCCCTAAGTTAGCGTTAACTAAACTAGCCAACACAGTTGGTCAGGCTACACAGTCGGCTAACATTACTCAAAACACGGTACAACGTTTGAAAATACCAATGGAAATTTCCCCCTAACAAGAAACTCAACTTTAATAGCATATTTATGTAACATTTGGAGCTATGACACTCACCTCAGAAAAATATTTGCTGCTTTCTCTCTCTTCAAGACGACGACTCCAACGGTCCGACGCAATGACGCAGTTTTCTCGAGAAGGACCGCTCGCGCACTGAGAGTGTGCCTCTGACCTGCACACTGATTGGCGCGTAGTTTTTTTTTTTTTTTATGTTTTTTTTTATTATTATTCCAAAGTGCAAATTAACAATTACTTGTATGAAAAAAAACGGGGCATAAGGACATCATCACAAAATGTTATAAGAGCTACACAAATGAACAAAACCGTCAACATAAAAATAAAGTACATAAATAAATAAATATGAAAATAAACGTGCTTTGATCAAACGTGGTTCCGGGTCATAAAAAACATATTAATGCAAAGTACTTGCTCATGGTGGGAATTGTTGGGTCTCTGTAAACATTACAAATAGTACGGTCTAGACATGCTCTATAGGAAAAGTGCAATGAGATAACTTTGTTATGAATCGGCGCTATATAAATAAAATTGAATTGAATACAGTGGTGTAATAAAGTGGATAAGCTTCCAGCTGAGAACTGTTTTCCAGAGATGACGATCTGAAAATGGTTTAAGTGTGGATTTGATTTGTAGGCCTATACTGTTACCATTTGTGTGTATTGCATATGCCTGTTGTGTTTTAATTTGAAAGTTGGGCAGGCCCCATATTCATTAGCTTAAATTTTACTACAATGGCAAAGGCTATTTTGAATCACTTTTATGCTTTTCTGAGGTCAAAAAGTTTTGTGTGGGGGCCCTGGAATATTTCCTTAGAGGGGCCTTGGGGGCAAAAAGGTTGAGAACCACGTTATCTTCAGGAAATACACGGTATTTTAATGTTGTTTTTTAATCCATTCCCCAACTAAACTAAGAGACCGAGTTAGAGAACCTACAGGGGAATAATGGGTTCTTTGTGTGGCAGTGGTGCTATATAGCACCTTAACCACCCTGAAGAACCTCTGAAGAACCATACTGGGCTTAACAGGTTCTTTATACAGTAGCGGTGCTATATAGCACCTCAAACACCCCGAAGAACCACTGAAGAACCATACTGGGCTTAACAGGTTCTTTATACAGTAGCGGTGCTATATAGCACCTCAAACACCCCGAAGAACCACTGAAGAACCAAAATTGTTTTGTACAGGTTTTATGGCAGTGGTGCTATATAGCACCTTAACCACTCCAAAGAACCGCTGAAGAACCATACAGGGGCTTAACAGGTTCTTTACATGGTAGTGGTGCTATATAGCACCTTAACCACTCCAAAGAACCGCTGAAGAACCGCTGAAGAACCTTTTTTTTTTAGAGTGTACTTTTCATTCTTAAAGTGTGTTTTAATGAATGGCTGTGCATGTGTCAATTTGTTTAACCTATCAGCAAACAATGCATACATGGAGTGACGAGGCATGATTTTGTGGGAGTGTGGGTAGTGCATCCAAAAAAATTAAAATTTGCTCATCACTTACTCACCCTCATGCTGTCCCCAGAAGTTGATGGGACACTTAAAGTTGATGCTTCAAAAACCATGTAATAAAAAATGAAATCAATTTTTCAATTCATGAATGCGTGTATGACCGTTGGCCAGAAGTAATGTGTTTTTAAAAATGTATTTATTTACTTGTTTGCTTGTTTACTTGCATACTTCCTATTTATATGGTGGGGTAAGTGAAAATGTTTGCAAAAATCCTTTAATGTTGAGCCCTGACAATATTTTGGGAAACACATGGTCTTAGGTCTAGTTGCAGTTGTTATGTGCTTTTTAATATTAATTTTAGTGTAGTGGCTTTTGCTCTGAATTATGTATCCTAGTGAAACCAGTAGGAATACTGATATGATTTAAGAGGTTGAGTTCAACAGAACTGACATGTCAGGGTTATTTTTCTCAGGAACTGTGAGCTCAGCATCAGTCAGAATAACAAGAAGTCTAATTACTCTGAGTATAGGCGAAGACAGAGAACTTCTGATTGTACATGTGGAGAGTAAATTCACTGAGAGTGAATTGAGTGCGAGTGTGTGTGCTTGAAAGAAATAATTGCAGATATTTTTTCATAGGTTTCACAAGCCTTTCCCAGAAGAAATCATCCTTCTGCATTTCTCATTTGCGCTTCAAAGGCCTGAAGTGTGTAACAGTATAATCAGAAATTTTCTCATCTCTGGGAGTTTCTGTTCCTTTTCATTTTAAATGCTCTGATATTGTTACACTTTAATTTCTCATGTAGAGCATATTTACCCTGCTCTGTTTCTCTTCTAGCAGTACAAAGAGATTTTATTACAAGCACAGGCACTAATGACTAATTTACCTATGTGTAATCATTTTTCATGTAACCCAGGACAGGAAAGGGTCTGGTGTATCCTACCTGCTGCTAAATCCAATGCAAATCAAATACATTTTGGTATTTGTTGTTTGTAAATCTTAGTCATTTCGTATTATTTATGCCTGAGTGTTACTATAATTTATTAATTTGGATTTCCATCAAAGATCAATGCATCCCAATGTTTTAACGCCTCTAGTTTACAGTATTATTTCTAACAGATGTTGCTTCGGCTTTAATGGAGTGGCTCTATTAACGTGATGAATGGGAAGGGGCAGCTATTCTGGCAGTTCAGAGGAAACCTGGTGTTTGATGTGGACAGAGGTTGTAACCTCTCTGTGTCTGGCTTTTGAAGGATACTGTACGCTTCTGTAGGAACAATAAGTATTTCTTTCTGTGCCTCTATAACTCTCTCTAACGCCATAACTGTTCCTCTGTATTTTTCTGGCAGTTCAGGCATGTGCATCTGCAAGAGTGGAGTGCATGGGGACAAGTGTGATGACTGCCGCCCAGGCTTCTCGCACTTTAGCAGCACGGGGTGCCAACCATGCCAATGCAATAATCATAGCAGCTACTGCCACCCACAGTCAGGTGAGCCACCCACATGCACAAAACAGAAGTAGCAAAAGAAGCCAGAACACTCTTTTCCATTCAGTTATGACACAGAGATCTCTGTTTGGAGGGTAGTTGAACTTCAATCTCCAGAAACTTCCCGTTATCTATCTAATTAGTAATTTAACTGATGCTTTTATCCAAGTACATTTATTACAATGGCAAATCCCAGAACCCCTGGAGCAAATTTATATTAAGTGTGAGATTAATAGTGATAGTTCACAGATCGCGCTTGCCAGGATTTAACTAGTAATTTATTGCCTAATCAATGGTATCAGCTGATTTATGGTCATTTTCTGTGCAGATTGCACATCTGCAGATTGTCTAAAAACATACGATGATCAGATCTGAGTATTTTTTTTCTGTATTTATACAGATTTAAGCGTTTTCCAACCTGGGAAGTATGACACATATAACTCGCAATATGTCTTTAAACAGTTACTAAACAATTAAATAAAACATTTGCTTTAAATGAATAGATTGTTTCTGACAGCACTACAATAGCTAGTGGCGCCATCTAGCAGCTGTGTGCAGGACACCCTTACCATGTCAGCCCATTTAAAATTTAACACTCGCCAAATGCAAGTAAAAATTGGTTGTTGGCTAGTATATGAAGTAGTATTACTCACCATTTGGTCCAATTATCAAATCGCAAGGGCTGTGTTTTAAATATACAAGTATACACTCTTAAAAATAAAGGTGCTTAAAAGGTTCTTCACAGTGATGCCATAGAAGAACCATTTTTGGTTCCTTAAAGAACCATTCAGTCAAAGGTTCTCTAAAGAACCATCTCTTTCTTACCTTTTTATAATCTGAAGAACCTTCTTTCGCCACAAAGAACCTTTTGTGAAACAGAAAGGTTCTTCAGATGTTAAAGGTTCTTTATGGAACCATTTAGACAAAAAAGGTTATTCAATGGCAGTGGTCTTCACTATTTTTTTCATGGAAGCCACACTGATAGGGCAAAGTCAATCGGAGAGCCACTTTTACCGCAAAGTATCAAAAGTTACATCCAGTCATAAATGGCATGTCTTTTTATCAATCTGTCATCCCTGATATGCAATGCAATGCAATACAAAAGGGGCTCTCATTCTTTATCATTTACCAGTTAAATTTGTAACTGAGACGAGATGATTTAAAAAAAAAAACAAGCAGGATTACCTTAATGCTGGAAAGACCTTAAAGGGGTTAGTTCACCCGCAATGCAATACAAAAGGGGCTATCATTCTTTATCATTTACCAGTTACATTTGTAACTGAGACGAGATGATTTAAAAAAAAAACAAGCAGGATTACCTTAATGCTGGAAAGACCTTAAAGGGGTTAGTTCACCCAAAAATTAAAATTAGCCCATAAATTACTCACCCTCAAGTCATCCTAGGTGTATATGAATTACTACTTTCAGACGAATCCAGTTGGAGTTATATTAAAAATTGTCTTTGATCTTTCAAGCTGTTTAATGTCACTCAGCGGGTGTTGCATGCATCAGTCCAAAAGAAGTTAAATAAAAAACGCCCATCCATTAAAAAAAAGTGTCTCACACGGCTCCGGGGGGTGAACAAAGGCCTCCTGTAGCGAATCGATGCGTTTTTGTAAGAAAAATATCCATATGAAAAACGTAATAATCACTTTAATGTAGCTTGCGCCAACAGTTGTACACGGAAGCAGCTCTGGGCTGATGAGGTATGAGGTCAGCGTTGCGCATGCACCAGTGAGACTCGTGAAAACCAACGTTTGTTAACAGGAGCAAAGGAAGCAACGTTTCCTTACTTTAACAAAGGAAAATCAGTCTCCTCTTGGCTTATATCGAAATCCTCCGACATTCTTCTTTACAAATCCTCGTTTTGTACTTCTAATAAGTGACCGTTGTTTTGTTTTGATCTCTCCCCTGCTCTTCTGTGTTCGTCACTTCTGAGCGGTGCATGCGCAAAGCCGACCTCATACGTCATCCGCCCGGAGCCGTGTGAGAGACTTTTTTATTATGGATGGGCGCTTTTTATTTCACTTCTTTTGGACGGATGCATGCAACCCCCGCTGAGTGGCATTAAACAGTTTGAAAGATCAAAGAACATTTTTAATATAACTCCGACTGGATTCGTCTGAAAGAAGAAAGTCATATACACCTAAGATGACTTGAGGGAGAGTAATTTATGGGCTAATTTAAATTTTTGGGTGAACTAACCCTTTAAGTTATTAAATTTTTTTACACTAGCCCATCATGTATCTAACATCCAAGAGCACATTCGGCGTTAAGAGCTATTAAGATTAAAACTGGCAACTCCGATGGACATAGGACAAAGCAAGTGTAAATATCTTTTCTAGTCTATATTTCTATCTTGTAATGCCGCTGTTTTAGGTATTTTTTAAAATATATTTAATATAAATAAAAATAAATATAATTGTTTGTAATAGAGCAGACACTATCTGACTGTGTCTACACCGGACGCGACAATTGTCGTGCCGCGCCCCGCTGCGCTAAAAGTCTGTCTACACTTGACGCGACAAAGCGACAGTTGCAAATCATCTGAACGTAGTGTCAGTACAGTTCGTCATAAATAGAACGAGGCATCAACTTACTGATGGGGATCGTGTCGCATCGTGCCGCATCCAGTGTAGACAACATCACTGGGTTCTATTGTCTTTTGTCGGATCGCGCCACTCGCGTCCGGTGTAGACATGGTGTGAGTTTTTTTAATTTGTTATGTTATAGCCCTGCTTGTTTTTAATGTTTTTATGAAATATCTGTATTGACTGCATGATCATATCATCGTATTATTTACTGCCATGTGAGCCACAAAGTAAAGAGCCGCGCAATGAGTAACACTGTTCTATGGCATCGTGAAGCACCTTGATTTCTAAGAGTGTACAGTCTGATGCTCTGCATGCTTCAGAGTAGCATGCGCCATTGTGTTACTTGCAAGGAGCTCATGAACCTTTGATTTAGTGTCTCTGAGTGTCTAAGTGAGTTTGGGACGTTTATATTTTTTATATTATTTGAAAACACAATGCGTTTCAACCATCTTTGCAAATATGTACTGACAATGGTTTATAAATGTGTTGTCAATAAAATAAAAAATATTTAAGGTCTCCAAAAGCTTTAATACCTCAAAATAAAAGTTTTATGTTTAACATTTGAAAGCAAAAAACTGAAGACCCATGCTTCAGAGTAGCATGCGCCATTGTGTTACTTGCAAGGAGCTCATGAACCTTTGATTTAGTGTCTCTGAGTGTCTAAGTGAGTTTGGGACGTTTATATTTTTTATATTATTTGAAAACACAATGCGTTTCAACCATCTTTGCAAATATGTACTGACAATGGTTTATAAATGTGTTGTCAATAAAAGAAAAAATATTTAAGGTCTCCAAAAGCTTTAATACCTCAAAATAAAAGTTTTATGTTTAACATTTGAAAGCAAAAAACTGAAGACAGCCATAAAAATGAGCAATTGTAATTTTACTGTAAAATAAATTAATATTAACTGTTTTTTTATTTTACAATACAGTAGATGGTGGTTCAAGTTTTCCTTTTTTATCCCTTGTTGGTTGTCTGTTGGTTAAAAATGATAGCAGAGTTCCAAAACAAAACTTCAAAATTCATTTTTTTAATAAATTATGCATAAAAGCAAGCAATGCAACAATATTACAAGCCTCCAATTCCATTATATTTGTTGTTATATCGCAAGAATTGTTTGCATTGAGTAGTTATTATTTCTTACACCACCTCTGTTGCCCCCTAGAGACTGTTCTTATTATAAATTATAAAGCATTAAAGAAAGGATGGCAACAGTGCATCTTTATTAAAGGGATCCTATTATGCTTTTTCACTTTTTCTCAACTTTAGTTAGTCTGTAATGTTGCTGTTTGAGCATAAAAAAAGATCTGCAAAGTTACAAAGTCCACTTCAAAAGGAGATATTTTATTTAACAGAAATCACTTTTCAAAAACTACAACGAATGACTAGTTTGGACTACAATGCATATTTTCCGGGATTTGTGATATCTCAAATATCGACGAATGGTACGAGACCTGGTTGAGCTGCACTAGAGAAGGCAATGAGTGTTATCACTAAGACGGAGACATGCTAGCTTTCCCAAGGCAGACACACTTAGAGTGGTTACAATCATCCGGGTTTCAATCGCGCTCAAATTGATTTGATTTTAACGCAATATTTACACTGAAGCTCGCAGCAGGTAAGGGGCATGGCATTTCCCGACCAGGGGCCGAGTGGTGCCAATCACAACACACACTGGCCCAGCTAACCAATCACAGCACATTTCGTATTTCAGAAGGCGGGCCTTCATTTCATACAGGAACTATTCGAGCCGTTCATGCCATACTGGGGAGAGAGGTGTTGTAATAATGTAAAATATGTGAAAAATAATGTTTTTCCGAACAAGCTAGTATGAGAGCCTGTTCTAGTACACCCCCAAAACAAAATCAAGACTTTGGTGAAGAGCATAATAGGACCCCTTTAAAAAGGCTTTTGTTGTGTCAGTCCACTGCAGTAACCAAAGACTGGTGTTGATGCTGATGCGCAGGAGCCATGTCATCACTCTAACTCAACAACTGCACATAAGCACTTCCTGCTGCTGTATGCACTGACAGCACTGCAGAGCTTTAACCCATACTGTATCTCTCTCACCACACAAGCTCTTCGGTTTTCAAACACACAGGGGATTTCAAACTTGTTTTCTAAAATGTAAAGGCTGGGATTTATTTTCTAACCCGGGATCTTTATAAATATTTGCATGTGGAATAATTTCTGCAAAATATTACATGGCTTCTTGCACGTTTTTACAACACTTTCAAAGTGAAATTCCACTGTCCACTGAGTGGAATACATATGGAATACATATGGAGCTGATTATGTGATTATTCATGCAGTCTGGTAAATGCGTTTTGAGGAAAAATAGTATTGTGCAAGGAACTGCAAGAAAATGAGTTTTTATTAATTGATAATATGCCCTAAAATCTAAATTG